TCTCTCTCTCTCTCTCTCTCTCTCTCTCTCTCTCTCTCTCTCTCTCTCTCTGCTTGAGTGTTTGTTACTTGGTTATCAGTTGATTGATATTTGTTTTAACAGGGGAAGCAATCTGGGGTGATGATAAAGTGGCCCCAATACTTTGCTATGCCCAACAGCCCTTTACTACCTAATTCGCTGAAGGCAAAGCTTCCCAGGCTACGTCTAGAGTAGGTGACAGTGAACGCCTTTGCCCAATGCTCCAGCTGTACTTTCCTGGATTGTCACATGGTTCCCTTCCATACTTTAACAATCATTGCCCTGCATTGTCTGTTAAGACCAAGAACCGTGTAGGGTCCTCATTCTCTTTACACTGGTGTACATTTCAATCAGTGGGGTTGGAACTCCAACTGTCCACACCAGTACTAAGTCCATCAGCAAACTGCTTCTGGCAATCCTCCTTTAGCAGCAGGGCAGAGAAGCTCTTCCTAGTGCACCATAGCTTGACAGCCCAGCCTTCCGCCTCTACGTAAGTTTTCTACCTCCCCGCCCCACTCCTGTGCTTTTAGGCAGCCATACCCAGTGGTGTGTAAACTAGTGTGGGCGCGCTTTGCTTACTTTGTGAGCTACAACAAGCAGTGGCTTTACCTTGACTATTCAAACTACAACCTTTTCACCTTTCTAAACAACCTGGGTGACAAGACGCCATGTACACACCTTCCATCCCGTCTTAGCGAGCCCCGGTTTCTGCAGTGAGAAATTAGAATCATCCTTGCCCTCTTTGGTGTAGGCCTTGAGTATGATGAGCCAGTTTGTATATCCTGAGTGAAAGGGCCCCTCCACTAGCTGGGCTGCTTGCTAGTGAAGCTGATTGTCTGAAACTAGTTTTCTCAAGTTGGATATAATGCCGAACCATTGGCTTTGTAAGTAGTCCAGAAATCTGAACTGTGAGAAAGCAGACTTAGAAGAAAGCCCCAGAAGAAGACTGTACACCTAAATTCAACACAAGTCAAAATGGTTCAAGGCGACAGGATGGAGCAGAGCAGAACTTGTCCACCTCCTCAGATAGCAGGGCAACTTGGCCAGATGGCAAAGTCACTTTATAGAGAGACTGAAAGCCAACAAAGTCTTCTATGTATGTTTGATGCATGCCTGTAAGTGCTGTTTCAAAAACCAAACTCGAGGCCTAAATTCTAGTTGAGGAGCCCTTTGCTTTCTGATATGGAGGCTCTCACAGTTTCCGTGATTTCATGGTACGGGGCTCTTGTCTGCTACTACATGAACAGCAGTCTAGCATCCACAGGAAATGGAGAATTCCTGAAGACCAACCTCAGACAATTGTACACACAGCCATCTTTGGCTTGAGTGAAGGTTGCTAAGAATGACTGGCCTGTTTCTAAACCCTGTGATTTCTATGAGACATCTTTCATGTAAAAATTTAAAATAAGAAACAATAGTAGCAACCTGGATGTTCCCATGTGTTTTGTCTGTGTTTACTCAATAGTTTGCAGTCCATGTACACATTTTAAACTTTAGTGATTACCAATAATTTAGCTGATTGCTTAGGACACTGAAAGATCTCTAAAAGGATGTGTACATATGCATGTTTGGGAACTTTGCCCTTCCGAGGAGAGGCTCTTGGTACTTGGGATAACAAAACTTTGTGCAGTGGGCTGCCCGCGCTTACACACTATAAAGGAAATGAAGCCATGTTAACCCGACAGCCGTGTCTCAGTAGTTGTGTTGTTTACAATACTGTATAAATGGGTTCCTGTTCCTCTGTAATTAAACTGCTGCCCTTAGAGGCCTTTCAGTTTCTTCTCTGTCATGTCCCTTCTTACAGGAGCTCAGATTTTCTAAACTTGTTTTTATTTTAAAGACTTTTAAAATGAACATTTTCAATAAACAAGAATAAACAGTGCTTTATAAATAAGACCATTAGTTTATTTTTTTTTCTACTGGTTGATGTTCAGGAAGGTAGTTTTAAAGTGTCATTTTTCATCTGACAAATACAAATTGTATATTGGTGGCAACAATGTAGGTTTTCAATCCATACATATATCATACTATCTATGGTCGGGGCCAATTTAATAGATCATTTATCACCTCACATATTACCATATCTGTAGTGAGAGCACTTAAAATACTTGCTGTTTAACTCTTTTGAAATATACAAATAGTATTAACTATAGTTACTGTATTATGCATGGATTAATTCTTCCTTTGTCTACTTTGATCAAAATAATGTCCTCTCGCTTTCCCCACCCAGACCTAGTCAGCTCCTATTTTACCCTCTATTGGTATGGGAGGGTTCTTCTGTCTATGTGTTGCTTTCAGTGGTTAATGAATAAAAAGCTGGCTTGGCCTGTGATAGGGCAGAGTAGAGCTAGGCAGGGAAAACTAAACTGAATGCTGGGAGAAAGAAGGCAAAGTCACAGAGATGCTATGGAGCTGCTAGAGGAGAAAGATGCAAGCCATCAGCTGGAACTTTGCCAGTAGGCCATGAGCCTCATGATAAAATATAAAATAATAGAAATGGGTTAATTTAAGATAAGAGTGAGCTAGAAATATGCATAAGCTAGTAGGCCAAGCAGTGTTGTAAATAATACAGTTTCTGTGTGATTATTTTGGGTCTGGAAAGCCGGGAATAAACAAGCAGCCTCCTTAGAACACTCTACTTCTGTGAGTTCCTGTTTTTATATTCCATATATGAAGACTGAGATGCACAGTGTTCATCTTTATAAATAAGCCTGACTTATTTCATCTAGCACAATTCCCTCCAGGTTCATAATGCTGTTACAAATTTTTTTCTTCTTTTTGAGGGCAAAGTGGTATTCCATTGTCTGTATATCTACCACATTTTTATCTATTTATCTATTCATAGATTCTTACCTTATTTTTTCTTTCTATCTATCCTATCTATCTATCTATCTATCTATCTATCTATCTATCTATCTATCTACCTTGAGTCAAGGTCTCATTGTGTAGCCATGGCTAGCCTGAAACTTATGGTATATACTAGGCTGTCCTCGAACTCAGAGAGATCTGTTTGTCTCTGGCTCTGAGTGTTGGGATTAAAGGGCATGTAGAACAAATAATAAAAACCCAGAGACAGATATTGGGGTTCAACCTGGAAATCAGGAAAGGAAAGCCTCCAAGCCACTAGAGAGCTCTTACCTCTATGAAATCTTCAGACTGAAAGAGAGCGAGTTCCTGTCTCATCCCACTTTATATTCCTCTCTAGTTCTGGGATTAAAGGTGTGCACCCCCACTGCCCAGTCTCTATGGCTAACTCGTGTTGCTGCTGGGATTAAAGGTGTGTGCAGCCACTGCCTGGCCTGTATGATTGACTAGTGTGACTGCTTTATGCTAACCTTTAGACAAGCTTTACTTATTAAAGTACAGATGAACTATCACTACAAGGGTGCACAGCATCATGACCAGTTGTAGGTTAGTCTAGATCTTGACTCAGTGAACAGTACTGCATTGGATATGGGAATGCAGATAGGTCTTCAACATAGTGATTGCCTTTCTTTCAGAAACGGTGAGGAGTAGGTTGAGGTTGGAAATTTTAACTAGTCCATTCGCATCAGCCTTCCCTCAACCTCCCCTTTCCACTTAAGGTTCTATTTTACAGTGTGATCAACCGTGTAAAGTAGTGAGCAAATGTCACCTACTGGTGACATAGAACTTCCCTTAACTTCTCTATCTTTCATCTTCTGGCCTCAGCTTACAAACCACTTGAAGTGCATCTCACAATTTTCCTTCCAACATTAAGAAAGATACGGTCATTTTCCTATCCATGTACTCATCCTCTTTGTGTTTGACACCAGTTTGTCAATCTGTGATATTTTCACCTGTGATCTCTGGTGTCAGCAGTCAGGATGAGAAGTATTCGAGCGGGGGGCTGGGGAGGTAACTCAGTCAATGCCAGGAAAAGCAGGCGACTCTGAGCTAGATCACCAGAGTACATGTAAAAGTGGTGATGTGGTGGCATTCACCTATAATCCCAGAACTGAAATGGCAAAGAGAGGTAGCTTCTTGGGGCTCACTGGCCAGCCAGCCTAGCCTGCTCGCTGAGTTACAGGCTAGTGAGAGACTACCTCACTAAGGTGGGGACTGGAGAGATGGCTAAGCGAGTAAAGGTGCCTGCCATGAAAGCTTAGTGGCCTGAGTTCAATCCCCAGAACACACATAAAGGTGGAAGAAGAGAACCAACTCCACAAATTGTCCCCTAACGTCTCCATACATGTGATACTGCGTGTGCATGCCCTACCTTCATAAATGTGAAGAAAAAACATAATTTATGTGCTAGAAATGCTGAAGCATGAACGGGCAGTCTATATACAGTGGTTCTGTTAAACTTGCCCATATGGCCTAACTTGAGGACGACTGACCAGGTCTTTTCCTCAAAAGGGCACCAGATCTCATTACAGATGGCTGTGAGTCACCATGTGGTTGCTGGGAATTTGGAAGAGCAGGCAGTGCTCTTAACCACTGAGTCATCTCTCCAGCTCATCATAAATGTACACACACATGATAATAAAGTTTTAAAAACTCCAAAAGGTAGATGAGTCCTGTGCAATGGTACCTGACGTTGGTCTATGCCCTATATGCACGGAGGGAGGGAGGAGAGGAGAAAGATGACCTGGATACTGCTTGCTACTCCACACCGTCTATTCCTATTCCCACGTTTCCCCCGAAGACATTAGAGCAGACATATATTTTTCCAAAGCCTCACAGCAAGGGTTCTGGGTATGATGAAGGTGCACATACATTTCCAGTTAGGCTAAGAATGTGGGGTGCATAATTTAGACCAAGTCTGTCTTCTGTTGGTCTGCAGAAAGTTCCCAATACACTGTGCTGTCTCCAGTCCACCCTGCAGTGTCTCTGCTCAATCTTTGTGGGTGACTCTGTCGCAGTAACAGTGCCAGGCTGTAGTCATAGCAGCAACTTCCTAACATTTGGGTCACAACTGCCATGAATGACTTTGAAGCCATTAGTT